AAAGCAGGGCTGTAGGGAGGGGCAGGGGGGGAGGCAGCAGGAAATGTGTGTGCAAGGACACTCATCAGGCACCATCACTCATTTTTTTTTCATTTCCTCTTCCCAGTTGAATAAATGAAAGGAAATGAAAAAGCTGCTACCATGAAAATGTACATTCTTGGTATGTTCAATTATGAAGGCTGGCTGTAAAAACAGGCCACAGCCCCGAGGAAGGAAGATATTGCTGAAATGTTGTTTGGTAGCTATTTAACTACTAGTTCAGAATTGCTTAAAAATATACATAAAAATACATGTGGGTCCATTGGTTTTATCTGGTATTTACTAGTGACTATATTTAACTAGTTTCTCTATATTTTTTAAAATAAAAAAAATTTATGAAGGTGCTATTTGTGGATACAGTTCTCATTGGGTTCAAAATCTGAGATCTATTTGAACTATATTCATACCTGAATGTGGATTTGCAGAATGCCAGATCATGAAATTTAAGAAATTATAAGCACTTTAATTCTAGGTCCTTTAGTATTTCAATAAAAAATCATTTGTGGATATTTAGTCTCAAGTTTAATTGAATCTCAGATGCCAACTGCAGTTATTTAAGATGCACCCACAAAAATATGCAAGCACAGTCTTTGATCCTTAAAACATTTCTGCGTGTGAGCAATTTAACAGACATGAGCTATCCCATTGAGTGCAGTGCCGCTATGCATATCCATAAAGCTATTCACATGCAGAGGTGTTTGAAGTCTGGGGCCTAATTATGTGCAAATGTATAGATGAGCATGACATTGCCCCATTTACATCTGGGAATTACTCCTTTTATTTGTCCTATGCCCTTTTTTCTTCTGTAGGAACTCATGTTTGAAAATATAACTCTAAATTATTGGAGAAACTTACATGTTTTTTAAAAGTGAACCTAGAATTTCAAAAAGGTGTGCTTGCCTCCAGCCTCAGGTTTTGTTACTAAAACTTGTGAGTCACATTTGGAACAATTTTTGAAAAGCTATCTTTACTATACTGAAGAGTTACCAGAGACTAGAATACAACTGGTTAAAGTCTCTCTCTTTCTTTCCAGGTGTAATTGAGAGCATCCAACAGTTGCTGGGAGCTTAATGTAAGAACTCAGAGAAAAGAAAGTGGAGGATGGCAGAGAGGTTACCACATCAGTAGCTAACAGTTGATTGTACTTGGCATTCACTGTCTGTAATAGCTTTTCCTTTCCATTGTTAAAGCTGGACCTGGTGAGTAATGTTATGTTAAATGCAAATCAAAATAGGCAGGTTAGATTTTTGCTCTTTTTACACATGCCGCTGTGTTGCTTTCCACAGTGGATTGAACCAAGGATGAATCAGTGTTACTTCACACTGGCTTATCCTAAACTCATGGCAATCTATGGGAGTTTTGTCACTGACTTGAAGGAAAACAGAATTGGGTCCATGTTGCTGGAAGCAGGTTCCTCATTTCCATTGCTACTGTTACTGGATTCTGAGCCAGCTAAAACAAACGCAAAATGCAAATCAGCACAGATTAAGATGTATCCATGTTTAATACCAAGTCTCTGAACACAGCCAGAAAAATAGCCATTTCAAGAGCTGCAAATCAGGGGTAGCCAAAAGTTAAGAACAGGGAACAAAATTCTCATTAACTGATTTGTCATCTTTCTTTATAAAAGAATGTGCATGGTATGCCATAACAGTCCCCTGTCAATAATATCTAATCTCTAAACTCAGTGTAGTAAAACTAATATTTTTGCACTTGTGTATACTGATAGTACTTTTCACCCAAAGTTTGCAGAACACTTCAGACAGGGGCGGTATAAGCAACATTGTTTCTATCTCACATATTGGGAGCCAACAGTATGTACTGCTCAGGAGACTTGCCCAAAGACAGACCCTGATGAGTCAGTGGAAGAGATGGAAGCAGACCATGAAAGTTCCTAATTCCACTGCTCTGCTCTGCTCCATCTATTATATAGATATTTATAAAATTAGGTAAAACTAGGAAAGGTTTATGCATTCTTTTTATACCAAGTTATATTGTACTTGCTGCAAGTTTTACAAACCTTTTAACAATAGTTATAAGATAGTATTGTCCTCATTGTATAGATAGGGAAAATGGGCCAAGATCCAGAACACCTCTGGTGAGCAGCACTTAAAGACCTTGATTCATCTTAATAGGATTTAAAGATGCTCAGACTCTTTTTTTTTAAGTGGGGAGGGGGAGGGAGGGGGGGGGTGCATTGTAACCAGATCCGGTTGACATACTGAGTCATCACAATTGTTATGGAGAGGGAAACTCAGAATCTGATAAACCAGAGAAATTTCCAGTTGATAAAATCATTTTTTGTGGCTTGTTCTTGAGCTTCTCTTCAAAATAAAAACAAACTAACAAAAAAATTACCCTTCCTTCCAAAACTTCAGACCCATACTAAACTAAGTTACAATAAAGCAGACACATACATTTTTAAAACTATCGTTTTAGGGAAGTTTAAAGACTGCACTTCTAAAGCTATTAGCTTGTTCTATATATGGATTCATCACATCTATCTGAGTATTTAGTAGAGTGAGGAAGCTCATAATTGTAGATCTATTCATATAAAAGTCTAGAATTATAAATGTTCATTCTTTGTAGTCTAATTTTTATTGAATTCTAACATCATGTGAGCCATTGTCTATACTAGTATGGGTTTGGGTTTTAAGATAAATGACAAGTTAATTATTGTGAGGGTTGATCAGTACATGGATGGGAGATATTGAGGTGATATTTTTGCAGACAGCTGTATTCTTTACCCCTGAGCCAGTAATGCTTTCTTTCAGAGGAAATTTCAAGCTAATGCTAAGAATTTCTAATAATTTATTTTTAATTCTTTGAGCACTTTTAACAAGAGAAGAAGTTTTAGTTCTAGTGACTAAATGAAATTCTCATTTGGGTGTGTACATTCTCCCTACTCGGTGTTACCTACTGTATTTGCTTCTGGTCTTTATGTACTGTGATATGTAACTGTGGGCTGTTAAAAGGCTGTTGCATCCACTCTTGATTTTCTGTAAGTCCAGGGTGGCTAAAATGCTGCTTTTTATGGCAGCTGTAAATAGTGATTGCTTTAGAAGGAATTACGTTGCTCTGCACTTCATCTGATCTGTAGTATGGGGTTAATTCATACCTTCTACGAGAGAAGATTTAAAAATTATCAGAGCACATGATGTTTAGGTAGGCAAGTATTGTTACACCCTTTAACACAACCTATTAAAATGAAATATGGAGGAATGGAGTGGCTTCTCTGGCAGACGCTATAGTCTAATCCAGTGGTGCTGAACATTTTTAGCCAGCAGGCCACACGGAAAGTGCTTCCACAGGTTGGATCCAGCCGGTGGACCCAAACTGGTGTCCAAGGTTAGGTGCAGTGGGGCCCCATCTAGCCACACTGAGTGGGGAGAGGGGCAGCCCAGCCCCATTCTACCTGTGCAGGGAAAGGGGGCTTGGCCCAGGTCCAATCTAGCTATGTGGAGGAAGGGGTATGTCCTGGGTCCAACCTTGCTGGGCAGAGGGAAGGGGACAGGACCCAGCCCTGTGGGATGTTGGGGGAGAAATGGTTGTGAGTTGGCCCTGAATCAGATGCCCAGGAGCAGAGTGTATTATCTGGCCCTGCAGTGAAAAGGGTGTGCAGCCTTTGGAAGGAAGGGGCCATGGCCTGGCCTTGATCTGGCCATGGGGTAGGAGGGTTGTGGTCCAGCACAGACCTGCCCCATGGAACTTAGGATTTTGGCAGTGGGGAGTGGTGGCAGTACTGCCACTGCTCCTCTGCCACCAGATTTCCTGAACAAAGGGGAGCCCTGTGGGCTGGATTTCAGGGCTCCATGGGCTGCATTTGGCCCATGGGTTGGAGGTTGAACACCCTTGGTTTAATCAAATAACTATGTTCCTAGTAGCTAGGAGACTAAGTTTTAATTCTGCTACCTCAGATATTTTCCTGTGGCCTGAAGACCAGATTTTCAAAAGTGCCTAATACTTTTGGATGATGCTTCAGTTTCAACTTAAGTGTCTCAAGCTGTGTGCCCAAAAATAGTAAGGCTCCCAAAATTATCAAAGATACTTTGTCGCCTGTACTTCTTTCAGATTTTGTCTATTTATAAAATACATTCTTGGATAGACTGGAGAAATTGTCCACAATCAAGCAGAAAAGATTCAGCATAGACAAACTTAAGTCCTGTACTTGGGATGGAATAACCTCATGCTCAGATACAGATGGGGAATGATTGGGTAGGCCTGAAGGCCAGAGAAGGATCTGGGTGGGATGGTTTAATCAGGGCTGATCCAGCCTTAAGCAGGGAGGCTGGACTAGATGCAATCTCTTCCATCCCTACTTTTCTATGATTCACATGATTCCTATTTTAGAGAGGTTTTAAGTGTTGAGAGAGTAATGTTTGTGAAATAGGAGAAACAGAAGCAGTAGAATATTAATGCTCCTGATAGTGGCCCTCTGTAATTTATTATTAGGAAGCGGGGTAGGAAACACGGGGAGGGAGGGGAGAGGGAGCTCGAAGGCCCATATTGTACATCAGCAACTGGAGATAGAGCCAAAAAGGAAAAATTCCTGTGGCTGCCATTGCAGAAGAGGTAAGGAAAGCTGTCCAACTTCTGAGAGGCTGGGAGCTGCATGCTGTGTGGGACCTCTGAACTCCCCAGACCCATAGACCATGGGAGCCCTGGGCCTGTGGGCTGTGTTGCCCCTTCCTGCCCACCCCCCAGGGTGCTGAAGCAGGAAGAAGAAGCTGGAGCAGGGAGCACAACCAGAGATCCTGGTTGCAACAGCAGCAGGAGCAAGGGGGAGCAGTGCTTGGGCCAGGACCTTTGGACTGCAACTTAACTGCTTGCAGGCCACACACAGCCCACAGACTGCCAGTTGTACAGCCCTGATGTAAGACAGAGCAGCCATTTGTCTGCAGTGATACAACACGCACATTTATGCTCGTTGGTGTTAATAATAATTTTATTTGTATTTGCATTATTTGGTTACCACTGAGATGCCAGTAGCTGAGATAGCTCAAGTGTATTCTTCCATCACAGATAATTTATGTTACAAGCTTCTAACCATGGAGATAAACAACATCGTTGGTTTTGGCCAGAAACTACATAAGCACAAACAAGAATGATGGATGTTCTTGATACAGTGAGATGCAATTTTCTATAAAGTTTGCAATGGAAAGTGGCAAAGCAACAAGAAGACCCCTCTGAATGATTTGGGGGCATTATTCCTGTGATGGATGGGCCCAGACAAATACTTAGCAGTTACTGTCATGGATAAGGCGACACTTCAGGAGCTTCAGGTAGTTGTCAATTTTATGAGAATCTCTTCGGAGGCAATGCAGCAGGTTGTAAAAGGCAAAGAGGCGGGAGTCCTCATCAGCCAATTGCAGGGATGGTAGCCCTGACCAGCTTGAGTAGACTTCATTTCCTGTGTCACCAGGTTGAACCTAACCAAAAGGAAACAAAGTTATTATTCCATTGACAGCCCTATTAGATGTAAGCAGCAAAAATTAGCAAATCTAACTAAAATAGGGCAGCACACTAAGAAACAAGAAATAGTATTGTTGGCTGTGCTTTCTGATTATCTTACCATGGGCACAATGGGCACTCACACGCTTCAGGGAGGCTGCTCCAATGTGCTGTAAATCCAGTGAGTTGGAGCATAAATTTCCATGCTCCGACAGCCTCCAGCATCATGAGTATCAGCATTGCTGCACTGAAAAATGACAGCAGAGCATTCTGAACTAAAGCTTTAGTTCAAAACACCTGGCTGCCATTTTTCCAGCGCGGGGATGCTGATACCTGTGACAATCGGGTGCTTTAATTAGCATGGCTCACTAATTAAATAGCCCCAGCCTTCTGGAGGTTGTCTAAAATGCTCCATGTTTGGTTTCTGTTATGGCTCCAAGAAACACGCTGGTAATGCTATGGACCTTTAAGATGATTCTGAGAGAATTATCTCTTTTCCCTAGAGTATATAAGGAGCTGACTTGTTCTAATGAATACATTTTTTAGGCTGATAGAATCTGGCTTTGTGGAGAAGTCACTCTTTTCCATCGTGTGCACACTCACCAGTGCCGGTTTTCCATGTATTTCTAAATCATGGCTGGATAGAACACCTGATCTTAAGATTTCTTGAGTGTGTCCTCCAATGTTGTCTCAACCCACCTCTCTGATAACATCTCTAATGGGAATAACCTTAGGAACACATTGGAGACAGATGCCAAGTGCACATCTAGATACAAGGGACCACTTCAACAAAGGGCTTCAATATGACATGAGGGGGAAACTATAAGTGATTCAGTGCAATCAGAGGTTAGAAACTCATGAATAAAAACTCATGCAGTTAGTGAGTGTCTAAAATAAAGATTGACATGACTCACTGCATTTGGATGAGACCTTCTTCCGTTTTCTCATGTCAAGAAAAACTACCCCTAGTAGGAAGAAGATAGTCTGCTCTTATCAGCATTTCTGAAGCTGATGTATCCCCCTCGCAGTGTGCAAAAGCCAGTTGGGGAACATGAAGTAACCAAGAAAGTCAATGCTCAACTTGATCAGGTCAAGCTACTGGTTAAACTGCAGTAGTTATGCTATGCTCAAAAACTATGGCTTGACTTCCATCATCTTGCCAATCCTGCTTTCAGTCTCCTTTCTTAAATAATGTAGGTGAGGAGATAACTTCAGCAGCAATTTGACTTCCACTGGTATCTTGGATCCCTTTCTGCTAGACTTTTCACCTGCATATGGGATGGAAATCTCTCTGATTACACTGACAGATGCTGTTGGGAGACAGAGCATGGACAGAGTAACTAGATTCTAAAACTATGTTTGTGTGTGATTCATTGGAAAGTGGTGGAGACAGTCGTGTCACTCTTAAGGCTGTTCAACCATTCAGAGCTTAAGCAAAAGCCAGTCAAGTCAGAAACTCTTTCTAATGTCCAGATCAGTGACAGAATGATTTATAGGACCTGTCAGAGGCTCCATTAAACATAAACAAGCTAGAGCTGCTTTTACTCAGGAAAACTTTCAATCAGTTACTGATAACAAGGGGTGTTCTTATACAGACCCTGTCAGACTACAGCATTGTTGGCTAACTTTCCCAAAGTAGGGGTAACTGGGCTTGATAGACATCCCAACAGTTCTAGGGAACCAGAGGCAGGAAGGGGAAAGGGTCAACTCTGCTATGAAAGAGTCCATGATTATTATCGAAGAATTGGTGACTTCAGAGCAGACTAGTGCTCAGAATAGAATCTGGCTTGGAAATCTATAAGGGCATGGGCCAGTGTCCTTGGAACTGGTTCAAGATGGGTGGAGAGCCACTGCTGGGGAGTGCACAGCTGCTGTTACATTCTAACAAGGACATCTGTGTAAACTGGGAACAATACAGATGCGGCAAAACTGCTCCAACTTTAATCCTGTACGAAGCAGTGTTATGGTTGGAGCAGTTCTGTTTCACTCCCAGTTTATGCATGTCACTGTTTAAACGTAACAACTTACGTGCTGTCAGGAGGAACAGTCCACCCTTTCCCCTTTTGCCCCAATATATGTTTGTCCATACCTTAAGAAATGCTATACAGGCCACACACACACACACACACACGTGCATGCATGCATGCATGCACACACATAGAGACGCACAGAGGCTAGGGACAAGTATTCAGTTCCAGCACTGCAAATTTCCCCGAAATTTGCAGAGCTGGATTATGTGGTGAGAGGGGGAGTATATAAGCATTCCAGTCCTCTTCCTGGAGAACAACAAATTTGTCTCCAAGATGTGAACTCTCTAGCCAGGGGTGATAGGAAGGTTCTCCATTGCTTCCCTCCATCCCTGTGTCTGTCTCTAGCTGTCTTCATCTGGTACCATGTGGGCATGAGCTGGAGGTAGCGAGGCTGCCTCTGCCTCGTGCCCCACACAGCTCTCTGGCCCATGAGACAGCACAGTGGGACCCATTCTGGATGGGTGCAGCAGTGGAAGAATGCAGCAGAGTTCTTGCAGGGCTCTCTCACAGCTCGCTGCTGGGTGGGGTGCCAGGGAGTTATTACTCTCCTCCCCTCCCCCTTGGGGGGACAGGGGGAGAATGGAGCACTGGGATATTGGGGTTCTTCAGGCGTGTACAGCTAGTCAAACTTTCCTGACAGAAGATGGATCTTCCTCAAGTCCTAATACTTACCCGACCAACTATTTTCTCCATTCCTTCCAGAAGACGCTTGTTTTGCTCCTCAATCTCTGCTGCTTTCCAGAGGATGGTGTTTGGAGCTTCTTTGATTCTTTGCACTTCAGTTACCAGGTGGAGTAGAGGGTCATTCCAGGAGCGCAGTACTCCCAGCACTAAATTCAGTAGATCTTCATGCTACATAGTAATATTAACAAGATTCCATTAAAGCAAGAAGGCTATCTGCTGGCTATCTGAGAAGGCAGTGTTGTATACCAAGTTAGAGTAATAATTTGAACGTTGGGGAACATGGATTTTGTTCTTGGTTCTTTCACTGATTTGTTGGCAGTTAGGTAAATCACTTATCTTCTCCCAGATAGCTCAGTGGCAGTTTCTTGCCACTGTTGGTTCCTATTAGCAGCATATGTCAAGATAATTGGATGAATGGTGGTAGAATATTATATGTGCAAAATACCACCCAAGTCCTCTCCACATTACAGGGTAGTGGGAGTGACTTTGTTTAGCTTCTCTAAATGGAAGTGCATTTAACTTGATGATTACCTAAGCATAAGTGAGATGGTTTTAGAAGACTCCTGGGATTTGGGGAAAAAAATCAGCCCTAATGGAAGGTTTATTTTGTGGGAGGCCACTTAATACCTTTTATTAAGGGTTTACACTCTCTACAAAACACATTAAACATGCCCTATCCTCTTTCTGATCCCTTTTGAATGGTTTTGCTTCCACAGAGAGTTCTATTTTGAAACTTTCACTGATTGTGGTCAAGTGAAAGCTCAAAAAGTTTGGTTCTCTTAGGGACATCCCAATATTTTCCCTTGCAGGACAACCACTAAAGCTGACATGGTGCAATTTGTGTTATGTTCTGCATCTGTTTTTGTGCCAAATTAAAAATACCCTCCTCTACATCTGTCAGCAGAAAGACTACACAGTGGCCATGTCTATGTGAGCTTATTATGCATTAGTACTGTGCAGGAACATCACAGGGCACAAACCATGACATGACACAACTGCGCAATAGTAAAGAGCAACTGTGCAGTCAGTGTCACCAGGAAGCTGTGCAAGGATGCTACCATGCAGTAACACTGGTTAGTGTGCAGTCATTTAATACTTAGGTATACAAGTACTACATGACTGTGCGTTAACAACTGTGCAGTTAGCATCTTGTGTAGACATGACCAGTATGTCAGAAGCCTTATTGGGTCACCAAACTGAGAATGTAACGCAATTGGTTAAATGTTGATCTCTGGTGTGATTGCTTTGGTGGCTAACCTTGCATGTTTATCCTTTTGGAAAACCCTTTCACAAGGATAAGAAAAAATATTTGTGGATGTTTATATCCTACACCAAGTCTATATCAATCCTAGTTTAAGGCTGCCATTATTAAATCAAGGAAACCTAAGTACAGCTGAAACAGTAGTTAATGTAGTAATACCCAGCTTACTTCTCTTTAGAAGCAGTATGATTATTTCAGTATCTTGTGTTTATAGTCTATAGCTGAGTGATGATACAACCATGTTGAGGGGATATTACTTGGGTATCTGTTTAGTACCTGTCAACACTTGCAGTAACTGCAGATCCATGTCTACCTATATTGTGCCTGCTATGTAATCAGCGCATTTCTGTCACTACTATTAATTATTGCTGTATTTACTCGATTAGAAGATGAGGCCCCCCCATTTAACATGGGGGGGAGCACTTTGTCTTGTAGTTGAGTATGAGGCAGCAGGTGTGGGAGGTGGGGGGCAGGCAGCTTCTGTATCTCTGGCCCTGAATTTGGTTCTGGCTCCAGCCCCAACCCAAGCCAGAGCCACAGCTTCTGCTCCCCCCACCCTCACTCCAAACTGCCTCTGCATGCTCTGACACTCCTTCCCTGCAGTCCCCATTGTCCAGGCCCCCCACACCACTTCTCCCTCTCTCTCCCCCTCTGCAGCACTCCTCCTTACCTTTGCTTTGCCCTGGAAGGCTCTGGCCCTGCTGTAGCTGGGGGCACAGAGCATGGCTCCAGCCTGGTCCTGTAGGTACTGCACAGAGCTGGCATTGCGGTTCCATCCTGGCCCTGTAGCAGCAGTGTTGGCTCCTGCCACTGCTACAGGGCCAGGCTGGAACAGCAGTGCTGGCTCCATACTGCAGCTATGGGGCTGGGCTGGAGCCATACTCCGTATCCTGGGCTGCAGCAGACATGGAGCCTGCTGGTGTTGAACAAAGGTAGGATTGTGGGGTTGGAGGGAAGGCAGAGGGGGAGAGACTTTGGGGGGGGAGACGGGAAGAAGGGGGGTGGGCACCTGAGATTGTGGGTGGCAGAAGTGGCATGGAGAGGGGAGGAGGGAACTGGGGCCACCTGAGGCTGTGGGG